AGAGATAGACTTCACTGGCAGCATGGATCATCTTTAAGTTAGCAATTGGATAATGAGTAGAATTCAATAATGAACTAGCATGATAGGAAAGTCAAAAAAATCCATCACCAACATTCATCTAGAAGAGAACACTAGAATAATATGCATTTATAAAAACCTGCAACTGTCATAAATCCATGACGTACCGCTGCATTATAGGCAGCAGCTTTCACCCCGCACCGACAAAGATAATTTGCAATGCTCAACGTTCCCTTTCTAGTAGGAACATATATGATCGTTGACCCTTTCTGTAAAGGCTCTTGCACAAGTCTTAGTCTTTCTTCCGGTTTATTTGGCAGATCAGTTATATTAGATCTAGTTTCTTTTCTAGTATTCCAGTCATCACGAACAGTTTGTCTCAAGAATTCACCGCAGCTAACTGTATGAAAAGATAAGTGCATTGAACAATAATCATATCTGACAACTATCAAGTCTATTACTAATATCACAGGAGTCCTAGATCATATAACAAAGGAAAGGATAAGAGAGAAAAATAATAGAAATTGCAAATAACAATACCATCCCAATCATTCACGCTCTGGAAGATGTCAAGGTCATTTTCCAAGTAGTCAACTGACAGCTCCCTTCCCTTTGAAGCACTTGAACCATTTTCCTGGGATGAACTTGCTTCATCATCTCTGTCAGAGAAGTCATCCTCAATATTGGCCAAATCATCCTGAGAAATGCTATCTGCCTCTGATATGGTATTATTAGCAGAGCAATTCAGGAGGTCGTTTATTTCTTGTGACATGATCATTTTTTTCTTTTCACCTGTTTTTCTCTTTCCAGTATACATGTCTACCAATTCACGGAAATCATCCTCATAAGTTGATGCAGATGTTCTACTATGTTGTACCTGTAAGTTATGATAAAAGTAAATGGATGAAGAATATAAGAAATTATCATAACTGGAATCTATGATTTATCCATGCAGAACAAAACCCTCTGCTGATAATTTTATTAAAAGAACCTAAAATAAGACTAAAACTTTTTCTAAAACTAATACAATAAACTTACCTTAAATCTTAGATTTGGCCGGAAAAAGGAAGTTAGCACAACCTTTGTTTCCTTTGACATGGACAATGACTTAAGAATGTCTTCCCGGACCTGAATTGTGGCAGTAGCAGTCAATGCCATCAGTGGTATATCATATTTTAAGAATTTTACCTTGCAAGCACTGAAGTTCTTTCGCAACTCAGACAATTTCCTGAAACATTTGGAAATACGTGTCAAGGAAACATGATAACTTTCGAATCCAAAAGAACTAAAATGATGCCATACCGATTTGGAGGCTAGATCCAAATGACTAATAATGCTCATGTCATCTATGCCCACGTTTAGGACATGCATCAGTCATTCCTAAATCCAACCATTAATTTGTAGTGGTGTATATGATGCACTTGTAAACAGACATCTGGCAAACCTGTAGTCAGGCCGAAAATCATGCCCCCACTTCGAAACACAATGGACTTCATCAATAGCGAAAAGTGCGATTCCACGATTTTCTGCTAATTTTTGAAGTGGCTTTATCAGTCTGTAGCACGATAGATTGCAATTTCTCAGACACTTCAAGACATTAGTAAAACAAAAGCCACTTAATAAAGAAGTCTCTTACCTCAAGATAGTTTCAGGACAAACATATACTATGTCGTACATCCCTGTCATTGCTTTGTTTTCCACAGTACTATCTGGTTGCCCAGATCCAAGAAAGCAAGCAGAAACCCCATGTTTTGCCAGCTTTAAGCATTGATCGTGCATCAAGCTTATCAACGGTGAAATCACCACCACCACCTTCCCTGTCAACAGTGCTGGAATCTGGAAGCACAGAGATTTACCTGCATAAAAGGTAATTATGAGTAAATGTAGCCAACCATCTAACAGAAAGATAAGGAAAACAGACACAAAAATAAGCAAGAAATAATACCAGACCCTGTTGCGGCAAGAACAAGAGAATCTCGGTGAGCCATCCAAGCAGCCAAGACTTCCTTCTGGAAACTTTTTAATGATGAATAACCAAAATGCTTTTGCAAGAGACTGTTAGCTGTCTTCTCCCAATCTGATTGAATGTCCAGGCAATCCGATGCAGACGATTCTGTCAAGACTTCAACACTATGATCCACACCAGAAGGAGGTCTCTCACATTGTTCTACAGAAGCACATAGTTTTGATCCAGAAACAGAAACGTCAGGTACAACCTCAGTCTTAATCCGTTTTGGTCTACCGGTGGAATGAAAATGATCCAGTATGCTAGACTGTCGAATTTGACCCGGAGCAGTAAAAGCCCTTTTCCCCAAAGCCTTCACATTCCTTGTGGTGCATCTTGAACTACTCAATGCTCCCTGATTGTTTCTACTACAACCATTCAATACATAATCCAATGCATCATCAAATGAAGGGCCTACTTCTTTTACAGCATCTACGACAGCGGAATTCTCAAATCCCATATCAAGCAGTTTCGCAATGACTTCATCTTCATCAGATGAGAAGCCATTGACATTCATGGCCACGAAAAATGCTCTCTAGCGAAAATTTACGAAACCAAAAGTCAATCATGCATCAAAATGCAAACCAGAAAAACCGGATTCCCATATGAAAATACGATTCCAAATCCAATTGAAATTAATTTTCAATTCAATTTCTCGTTTTTACTAACAAAAAAGGGATCTTGCTCTTGCCCTTAAATTTAATTACCTCAATGAACAAAAGAAAATTAAAACAAGTTCTAATTTTTAATTTCTTCATAAGAAAACTGATTCGACTAATCGACAATGGTGTGAGATTCACCTTGAGCAATCAAAGTTCAATGGTGAAAATTAAAATTAAAACACACCAAGAATAATTCCACGTATTCAATTAATTAATAATTAAGCAAAAATTGAAGAAAGATATGTACACTAATCAAGATTAAAACTCAAAAGACGAAAATCGAAAGCATGAGCTTACTTTAGCCCTTCAGCCCGCGCAACGGCGCAAGCGCTCTCTTTTCTCTGGGAAGTTGGGAACTCACCCCGCCAAACTCCGAAGTTGGGAATTTTGAAGTGGAGGCGTTTCGCGTGTATTGTCTTCTCTCATCCTACGTCATGTCGTCCGTCCGTCTTGCGTCAGTAAAATGACAACATTAATAGTTGATAATACAAATATAGGCTCAATTAGCCAACACTATTCTCTCCGGATCGTCTTTGTAAGGATCTCGGGAATTCGTGAATTATGTATGTTCATCATATATTATGCAGACAGTTTTTGTCAGGTATTGTTTGTATTCAATTTTAATAAAATGATTTCTGACAGTAAGATGTACGATAAACAGACATGATTCACTAATCTCTGGAATCCTCAAAAAGATGATCCGTATTCCTCAATTAGGAATGGTTTCAAAATCATGAAGCGCTTTTCGAAAAAGAAAAAAATTTTGAGTTCCAAAAACATTTGAAGTATTTTCTACAAGAAACACTTTATGTGTTTTTTTTTCTTCCTATAAACACTTAAATGTTTTTCCATGATTTATTTGTATTTTTGTTAAAGATCAATTTCACAAACATTTTTACAAAAGACGCTTTTAACTATTTTAAAAAACACTTCCAACCAAACTCATAGATAATTTAACTCGGACACAACCTATTGCTTCTCACGCATTGTTCCATCAAAATCTACTTGCACTGGTGTAGGATAAATCGAAAAAAAATTCCAATTTTCATTCAATATTAAAAAGTTGTAATTAAAGTTCAAATATACATCTTACTAGACTTAGGGCTGGTTTGGTATTGATGTGTTTTGAAAAAAAAACTGTTTCTGCTGTACTGTAAGAATAAGCTCATTTTTGCTGTTTCACGTTTAATTTCAGCTTTTTTTCACCCAAAATTGTGAAAATAAGTTGTTAAGTGTTTACCAAACACTTTTTTGAGCTCAGTTTTTTTTTATAAAAGCACCTCAGTACCAAACCAGTACTTACTCTAATTCTTGGAGTAAAACTTAAATTTTAGGTTCTAAATCTATCTCAACTTGCTGTCAACCCTTGTGGGTCAAATATGAGTTTTAACCCCAAACTCAATTTTGGGGCAAATTTAGCCCAAGATTCCACTCGGTTAGTGTGTTGGGCCCACCATATGTGTATTTTTTTTTAGTTTTGTATTTACAAATTTATTGAATCCAACATCTAAGAGCATCTCCAAATGAGATGTCAAAATTGCCATGTAGACATACAACAGTAAAAAATGGTAGCAAACTCTCTCCAACTGAACCTTCAATTTCTTAGGTAGCGCTGAGTCATTTGAAGGCAAAGTCTTTTGCAATCAAATTTGATAGCAGATGTCAAATTTATTAAATGATATTTTAACATATTAATATAATATATAATAAATATTGTTATGTTTTTGAAATATTTGATTGGTTGCCTTAATCATTGGACTCTGTTTGTACCATACTTGACCAATCCCGAAACTACCGAGCACCGGCCAACGCTATACTGTCAAGGACCCAGAAGAGTTCCCCTCCGACCAGGAGGCCAATCACTACTCGACACGTGTCAAGATTAGAAGCCAATCAGAGCGCAGCACGTGTCGACATCAAGAACCAATCATAACATGACACATGTCAATGTGACAAAGCTACAAGTTTTTCTATAAATAGGGGTCATTCCCCCACAATATTGGCTAATGCCATTTGTGTTAAATCATTCATAAGAACTCACTAAATTGAGAGCTTGATCCCTTGTACTTGTGTAAGCCCTTCACTACTAATAAGAACTCCTCTACTCCGTGGACGTAGCCAATCTGGGTGAACCACGTACATCCTGTGTTTGCTTCTCTGTCTCTATTCATTTACGTACTTATCCTCACTAGTGACCGAAGCAACCAAGCGAAGGTCACAAAACCTGACACTTTCTGTTGTACCAAAGTCTTCGCTGATTTTGTGCATCAACAGACTCCAAAAAAGATAAAAAGCTTATTAAATGACATTATTATTTAACATATCGGGAACAAAATATTATACAAAATGTCAATTGAAACAGTCCAATTACCCTTGGTTTCTTCCCCGCCTTCGCCACTGAGAACTCCACCTTGAACTGCAGCACTGTATGCAACAGCCTTATCAGGATTGACCCCCTTGCTTGGCTCTTTCCCATCGAAGAAGTCTTTCAACATCTCTTGCACCTTAGGAATTCGGGTACTCCCTCCAACGAGGACAATCTCGTGAATATCTTTCTTCTTCAGGCCTGCATCTTCTAAAGCCTTCTTTACCGGTCTCATGATCTTCTTGAACAAGTCCATGTTCCTTTCGAAGTTTCCCGAGAGCCTTGGGTCCTTGCTAATATCCTTGTTATATTTCTTCTTGATGAACTTGATGACGTAGTCCATCACTCCATGGTCGAAGTCCTCTCCTCCCAAGTGAGTGTCTCCACTCATAGACCTCACCTCAAACACGCCGTTATCCATTGTCAAGATGCTAACATCAAATGTACCACCACCAAGATCGTAAACTAATTAATATGTGTTGTGATTGGCTCATATTTTGAGCTGGCAACAATGAAGTGATATGTGTTTGCTTTCGGTGGAAATATCACATGGTGTGGGCTGCATGAAAGTTGCAGACAAGTGTTGCAAAGTAAAATCAAAAGTGGGTTTGCCTTTTGACTTTGGGAGCATTGCAAGAAATGTGATGATGACTTGGCCTTTATTTAATGCAAGGAAATGTTTGCATTAGGTGTGCTTGCCGAGGGAGAAGGTTTGCATCAGAAAAGCATCCAAGGTGGAGAGAGCATTCGACTCTCCCATGGGAAAGGTTGAACATGGGTTGAGAGAAAATCAAGAGAGCTAGAGTGAAAAGTATTATAGTGAAAGAACTCTTGGGGTAGAATGAGGCTCTTGGAAAATTTTATGAGTGGGTGTGCAAGGAATTCAGGATTGGGTTATGTTGATTTAACTCATGTGTACTTGTACTGTTATTCTCATAGTGAATAGCAATATCTCTCCGGGGACGTAGGCATGATTTTGCCGAACCTCGTAAATTTCTCAGTGTCTTTATTTCTTGCATTTTATTCTGTTCAACTGAGTGTGATTTGGTGAGGTTGTAATTTGAATCTCGTTTCCGCACTAACGAACGGGCTAAGGCACAACAATATGTTATTCTCTTCTTTCTTGTCGGATCATAATGGTTGCGGCTGTAGGCTCGTTGATCATCCGAGCCACATTGAGCCCGGCAATGATGCCCGCATCCTTGGTAACCTGCCTCTGCGCATCATTGAAATAAGCTACAAGAACCAATCAAAAGCAACCCATCAAACCAACGAACACAATAACATAATCACTATGTTTTCTCGTTGTATTATCTAATAACCATCCGCAGAACTATAGAAGATTTAAGTGAGGAAATTTTCGAGCATCACCTGGAACGGTTACCACGGCGTCTTTGATTTTCTTCCCGAGGTAGGCCTCCGGCGGTTTCCTTCATCTTACCCAAAATCACAGCACTTATTTCCTCAGGGCTAAAAACCTTGGTTTCACCTTTAACGTTCACATGCATGTAAGGCTTCCCATCTTCGTTCACAGCCTTGTAACGTAAAAACTTAATATCTCTTTGAACATCTGGATCATCAAACCTACTGTTTGGATCAAAACTTAAACTTTGGGCTCGGGGGAAGTTGGCCCAAAGAGCATCCTAAAAGGAAGAAGCCCAGTCAAGGCCAGTCAAAACCCAGCCGAAGTCCAGAAGACAGGAGAAGCCCGTTTCTGACTAGGTGCAGGCCATGCAGACTACTTGCTCACCTACCCAATGGCCAAGTGGTATAGACCAGCCAGCTAATCAGCCCAAAAAGTACTTTTTAATGGCAGTACAAGTAAATAGCTGATGAGTCACTATCCTTCAAACTACATTCGGGCAAGATTATTGCTACAGGAGGCCAAGCCAAAGTGTCTATAAAAGGAGAAAGAGAAGTCAGAATCAAGGACACTCAAACAAACAAACAAAAGCCAGATTTGCCTTCAAAACGAAGCTGTAGTCAGCCCAAACCTTCATCCCTTTCGGGATAAACCCTTTGTAATAGCTCTGATACCCTGCTCAAAGCCTGCTGTAGTATCGATTTTCTTTCTGCAAACTCATTTCCCAACCCCTTTTCTAAGCCTTCAAACCTTCTGTTAACCCACAAAGATAGGAAGTTGCAAGACGACCAGCCTTGCCCGACCTGCTTTGTTTTTGTTTTTTTCATTCATTAGCCTAGCAATATGTTGTATACTTCAAGTTGTATCCAAGTTATTTCTAGTAATATGGCTATTAAAAGACTCTCTCAGCACTTGAATCTGATTTGAATATGTCTTCACAGTTCAAACCAGATCTAAGTTCTAAGCCCTCGGGCATATAAGATTTGATCACCCTAAAAGTCCTTGGCCTCAAGGCATAAAAAAGAACCTGATGTGGACTTAACCCATCCACTACAAGCTTTGATAACAAGAAGTCCGAAGTTACTTGGGGCGCAAGTAATCGACCTGCCACTTGGTTTTATTTCTGTTATATTATGATGACCATATAACGTTCGAGTACATGATGAATTCTGATGGGAAGCCTCAATGCCTATTCAAGGCTCCACAAATGCACCTATTTGGATTCATCATATTTCTCGGGCAAAAACATTGAGTATAGAAGGGTTTCTGATGGGAAGCCTCAAAGCCTATTCAAGGCCCCACAAAGGCACCTATTTGGATTCATTCTGCTCTTTGAGCTCAGGTAATTAGAAGTATGATGGTTATAAGACTCATATAACATACAAAAGGAACCTTATGTGTTTGAGTACTAAGTTAGTTATTTACGGGAAGCTTCAAGGCCTACACCTAAGGCCCCACAAAGGCACCTGTCAATAACTAACAGTCTCTCGAATATATATAATTAAAACTCAAACATCTGTTCTACATTTACCATGTTGAAGATGGTAGTGGCACGCCTAAGCAATTCAAAGTTAATCTTGATCGTGAGCCTCAAGGCCTACATTCAAGGCCCCACAAAGGCACATTTCAAAGTTAACTCTGTCCTTCTTTTTCAGCCTTGCCCAACAAGCCTTGCCCGACAGGCTTTGCCCGACAAGCCCGCCATTAAAGCAGAAGCCCGACAGAAAGCATCAACCGGCGCCAACCTCTCGGGGAGCTGTGTGCTCGTCGGCCAGGAAGCATTCCCCACGGAAATTCCCACCACGAACACCTACAAATCAAAACACCGAATTGAACAAAACCCAATTAAGTTCATAATCCAAATTAAACACACAGATAATCCACAACATCTTCCAATCCAAGTACCATGTAAAGTTGCTTAAATTCTTCCCATCTAAGTTCATAATCCAAATTAAACACACAGATAAACCACATCCCCTTCCAAATAAGTTAATAATCCAAATTAAACACACATAAAATCAGTCTCTTTCGCCCAATGAGCCGCTTGACGTCAGAAATGGTGCGTTCTGCGTTGAGAGGGGCTTGATTCGTGGCCGCCTCTCCGATCAGACGCACCGTATCAGTGAATGCGACCCAGGAGGGCGCCTTGATCGTTCGCATGACCGTTCTTGTACACTCCCACACAGGAATACGTTGTTCCGAGATCGATTCCGATCAGAGTCCCAAACTTGGATGAATCATAGGCCGCTACTGCTATTCCACACAGGAATTCTACCCACAAGCCAAAATTAGAAAGAACAATTCTTCAGCAAATATATGAAAATAAATAAACTAGAAATTTTACGTGCATGATGTTATGTTCTTAAAACCGAGCACATGTTAGTTGTAGACTTAAAATGAGTCGCATGTTGATACATTTTGTTAACGACAATGACATGTTATACATTACCGATGACAGATTAACGTTCGTTCTTTAGTATTTGTCACTCAATAAAAAAAGTAAGACGTTCGTTTCATAGCCAGACTAGTTAAGAAATTAACATAAAAGATTTGATTATGTTGTACCTGAAACAAAGAGAAGTAGAAACGCGAACGACATTCTTGGATCATCTTCGCCTCCATTGATTTCCTTGTTTTTTTTTAAGTTGAGATTTTTGTGTTTGGGAATTTGAATTCTGAGTGTGAAAGATGAAGGTTGAAGGGGTTTTTATAAAGAAAATTAACGAAAAGTTAAAAAAAAAAAGTTTTAATAATACTAGAGAAAGGTAAAAATGTGGTTTTTCGTTAAAACTAAACAGTACCGGAAATGTTTCGTTTAAACTTCATTATTATATACTGTGGGGCCCTGTGCGGCAATGTTTATGTCGTGCATACTATTGGCCAATGGCGATGCGCCACGTTGGCAATTTTATCAGTGCACGTTGCTGCCTTGGGACAAGGATTGTCTGCCTTCCTTGTTCCTATGCCCTCCTGTTTGTGTGGTCACGGTTAAGCTACGTCAACATTTTATATTACTATTTATTTTTGTCTTATTATCTCTATAAAAAACATTATAAAATGTTGATGTGGCTTAACCGTGATCACACAAAACAGGAGAGTACGGGAACAAGGAGGGCAGACAATCCTTGTCCGCTGCCTTGTTGCTGGGAAATGTCAAATGGCGTATGGGAGGTTGACGCGTGGAGTCTGTTGGGATCCAGACTGTTCTTGAATTGTAAAGACGGGAAAAAAGGCGTGCGGGGAGTGCATGGCAGTTGGAGGGTAAAATGGGTATCGGACGAAAGAACGAGGGTGTTATAGTAATTTGGACGCTTTGTTTCAGATGTCTAATTGGGTCTTTGAGTCTGGGCTGGGCTGGACCACAATTGCTTTGTTTTTATTATGGCCCATTATCACTTTGACCACACGGAAGCCCAAATCATTCCAACATGACATGACAACCTTAGTGGTGGAGAAATTCTTGAGTTCCGGCAGTCGTCCACGTCATCCGTCATCTGAAAAGACACGTGGGACCTCGACATTCAGGTCTACCAAAATGGGACCAGGTGTGGGAACCGGATGAAGGAGAAATTCTCTCCACTAAGCTTAAATTTTAATAGCGTCACTGTTCAATAAATATTTGTCACGTGTTTAAAAAGTGCATTATCTATCTAATTGATTGGTAACATGTTATTGATTGATTCTCTTTGTATGTTTCTTAGGCGAACTAGTTGATGTGCACAATTACTCACACCAAGATTATCTTTTAACTTTCTATTTCATATTAAGTTCTCCTAATACTTTAAAGCGTGTCAAATTGGCACAAAAGGAAAAATGTATCACCTATTCCGTTACTTTTTCATCACTCAAATGAACAAAATAACCCTCGATTTGACAGAAAAATTGACAGATTTGACGATATGAAACGACACATTTTGGATGAGGTAATGAAATTCATATCCAACGCAGCCTTAAGGCCGAAACCCTACATACAAAATTCAAAACCAGGTTAACGTTCTTGCTTAGTGAATGAAAATCCATCATATGAACACACCAAAACAATCTCACAAAATCTACAGCCTATTTGAATGGAGCCAGAGGATTTGGAGTGCGTGGAGCTTTTGAGCTTCTAAGCTCTTTACAAACATGATCCAACATTCCCAAAAAGTCCCTAACAATCACGAAAATCCGAAGCGGATTCGCTTCTTCCTTGCTCACATTCCCGTGAAAATATTCTGTTATCTCCTTCACCTGTGACAGAACCCTACTCTCATCACCCTGCAACTCTCTCAAATGTTCCTCTGCATAACATATGAACGATTTCATCGAATTGACCAAATTACCACTGTTCTCATCCATGCACAACTCCTTGTGTATGAGATGTTTGATGTTCTCCATTCCATCGGAGAGATTTGATACACTGCTTGCAAGAACATCCAAGTCCAATGTGGCTGTTTTCTTCGCGTTGTAGAGCTCGGTGCTGAGGCCGGAAACTAGGTCAAGCCCCATTCTTCTGTAGTCTTCTTCTTTCTCTTCTAGGGTTTTGGTTTTGTTCTTCTGGCTGATCTTCCCCATGATGCTGTCCGAAACTCGAATCCCTTCTGTCCGTATTATTTCTTGCACAACAAAATGTAGCAATGTGGTTTTTCCATCGGTTCCTTTTACATCGGAGAGCTTGAGGAGAGTGTCTAGCTTGAATGCTTTGGCACCTCCTCGGATCGTTCCAACATTCATCCGGTTTCCTGTTTTCAACACCGCTTCGAGTAGCTTCAAGAAGAGCCTGCTTGACCTCAGTTCCTTACAGGCCTCCTATAAACCATAATTTACACAAAAGAAAAAGATTATTTTGTGCTCAAATATGTTTCTTGTTGTATAATAAAAGCGGATCTAGCAGAAGCGCTTATAAACAGAAGGCTTCTTACATAAGTATATTCCCAAACAGGCCTACCTCTAGCACTGAAAAGGAGTTCCTAAGGTGAACCACCTCATCTTCAAACGTTTCTCTGTAAAGCATTGCTTCAACTCGTTGGAAAGCGAAAGGTACTCTAAGCACCGCCTTCACAAACTTCTCCGCTGACCCGAGTTCATTGATGTCTCCTTTGTAGCCGGTGAGCTTACCCTCTTCCTCCTTGGTGAGTTCCATCCTCACGAGCGCTTCCAGTTGTTGTAGGCGCAAGCCATTTCCTGTTAATGTCGTAATCTTGTTAGGTTTTGGTTGTTTATAGTACCAGTCCGGCTCTGTGAAAGACGTCCTGATTTGGTAAAGTATATTTATAAGTTTAGGAGTTGCATATATACCTTGCACTAGTGCTTCACATACTTGATCAGCGGTTGAATTCAGGGCTTTCGAGAGTATGGTTATGTTCTGTAGTCTTTTCGGCTCAAGAACATGCTTGCTTGGAGAAGGGCTCTTGCTCTTTGCTTCATCATTCTTCATTGAGCCTTGTAGATTGTATCCGAAAAGCGATTCAATCATTTCCTCATCCAGCCTGTTTCAAGACTCATAATCAGGTCAAGGTTTTAAGCAGAAAAGTAGATACCAAGACACATCTGAAACATAATGTAACTTACTCGAACGAGCTTGATCTCAGTTTGTCCCACACCATAGAATGATCCGGTGCAGCTCTGACTTTGTCCCAATGCAACGGCTTCAGTTTAGGCAGGGGAGTTCCATCTTTCCCCAGTGGTGTAGCCTGAGGGAGGGGTGGAGGAGGAGGACCTTTCAAAAAGCTATTATTCGCTTTCGAAAAGGGAGGTGGGCAGGGTGGTGGAGGAATTGGAGGTGGAGTTTCTGAAGGTCTGGAAGAGTTCTGAGGCGAAACAGAAAATCCGCCTTCGGGGGTTTGATTTGATCCACAAGAAGAACCTGATTTTCTTGGCGGTGATAGATTTTGCAATGTAGAAGACGAGCACGAAGCTTTCGATGCAATTCTAGTTGATCTGGGAGAAGAATAAAAATGAGGAAAATGTTTGATTGGTGGTGGGGGTGGAGGAGGTGGTGCTGGAGGAGCGTTGACATTCTTTTCGCAATTGGAAGAGCACGGTGCAATCAGAAGTTTGGATTCTTTATTTCGGATTATGGTTTCTGGTTGATCTGGTAAGTTTATAGAAGGTGCTTCTAAACAAGGTTCTATGTTCGACACATTTGTGGAGAGAACATCTGATGAGTCACCTAGGCTACCAGCTGAGGCATTTGAAAGGCGGATGTTGGATGAATTCGAATTGTCGAAAGAATGGAAAGATTCATCATCGGAAGAATACGAATCAACAGGAATAATTTTGTCACCGGTTGCGGAATTAGCACAATCAGAGGCATATTTCACTGCCTCTGCAATTATATCCTCGTGAACAGACATAATTTCCCCAGTGGAAGAACTACTACAAGCATCGTCGAATTCCGATTTCATCACTTGTTGATTTGTTTCTTCCCTCTCAAGCAATGTATGATTTCGTGACGTAATTACAGTTTCGCAAGTTTCTTTGGAACAAGAAATATGGTGCTGTTGCTGCTCTAAATCCAACCCTAACGAATCAGGATATATGAGATCAGAACTAGTGGTGGTGGTGGCAGCATTTAGTTTCACCTTGCTTGGTGATTTAGCTCCTCCGTTTTGGCCGAAAACCGAAATCACGCTCGTGGGTTTCTTCTTATGTTTCCTCTGCTTCCTGCAACCCCAAACGATGCCGAGCACACAAATCACAACCGCAGCTCCCGCAGAAACAAGAACCGGTACAAGTATCCTCGCCATTCCGCCTCTGTCTTCTCTGTGAATGTCTTGAGGCTTTGAGGTTGAGCGCAGGCGATGCGGATGATGCGAATGCGCATGGATGTGGGGCGCCGGAGAAGGAGCAGGAGCGGGAGCGGGAGCTGGACTCGGAGCTTCAGCTTCACTGTAGGGCGACGGAGAAGGAGAAGGAGAAACATTTCCACTGTCGGCAGCTGACGGCGTTCGCTTGTGGAAGCTGTTCAGTCCGAGTAAAGCTCTGAACTTTTCGACAACCGGAACTGCATTCTCTTCATCTTCCCCGGAAACTCTGTGAATCTGTAAGTTTTGGGGAGCCTCGGCATTGTCCTCCATGAAATGCAGGTGGTGTTGCAGGCCATGAACATTGAAGCATTCCTCTGGTGCATTGTGTAATGACAGGAGAAAAGATATGATGAAAAAGATCATAAGGAGGAGAATCTGAGAGAAAATATATGCCATTTTTCTCTCTCTCTCTCAACCCAAAAATCATCAAAGCACCAATCTAACTTTCTGATTATAAATCATCTTCTTTTTTGTTCATTTATTTGGAACAGAAGGGAAAAACAAAAAGTTCTTTGGGTGGGTATAGCAGAATAGGTGGTGTGCAATGAAGGTATTGCAGAGAGAGAGAGAGAGAGAGAGAGAGAGAGGAGGGAGGGAGGGAGGGAGGGAGGGAGGAGTGAGGGAGAGACTTTAATGCTACTCCAAGGAACCCCTGAGCCTGGCAGTTGAAGGTGTACTGACCATTCTTTTACTTCTGTGTTCATGCAAATCTTATCTCTTCTCACCTCCATTAATGCCTCTGCAAAAACATTTTTAATTTAATAAAGAGCTGGTGATACAGTGGTAAATGACGGATTACGAATTTTTTTAA